CCCGTGCTAGCCTTGCTAGCGCCGTTCGCCGCTTTCTACCGCGGACTTCCCCCTACGCCCTCAGCTCACGCGGACCTCTTTTGGCCCCCTCCAGTCCGGTCCGTCATCTCCCCATGGCCGACGGTGCGTCACACGCCGTCGACACGGCGATGACCACGGCATCGAGCTCCACACCCGTGTCGGCGGACCAGGGCCATCAGCCCCAGGGGGATCTACACAACCTCCTCACCTCCCTCCTCGCGCCGATCCAGGCGCAACTCGCGACCCTCGGGCCCCTACAGGCGCAGGTGGCGACCCTTGCCGCCGACGTGCAGCAACTCCAGGACATTGGTCGTCCTTCCTCTCCTCATCCTCTCTCTTCTCCTGGCTCTCAATCTGGGTCCTCAGTCCTCCGACAGGGTGGCCACGGCGGAGTTTCCTCCTCTGCCGCCCCGGACCCGGCCATTTTGGTGACCGTCCACGCCCCTAGCTCGACAACCGCCACGAGTCAGGCCCTTCCTCAGTCTACGGGCGCACCGGCCCAAATTCCGGTTATGACGGTTATGGGACCGCAACCCGTTACCATGGTCTCAGCGTTTTCGGGTGCCCCGCTCCTCCCCCCCCTTCGCACGACCGCAGCGCCACCTGGCTCTCCCCTCTCTGGGATGCCCAGCGCCGCTTGTGCATCCACTTCCTCCACTCTTTCCCCTGCTACCCCTCGCACGACCTACGTTCGAGGTCTCGAGGACGAGATTGCCTAGCTCCGGGCCAACCTCGCCCTCTTACGCCTTTAACCACCCCCACCCTCACAGGTGGCCGCGCCTTCGGGCGCACCCCCTACCTCCTCTACCCTTCCTCCCATGCAGACTCGCTTTCCACGCCCTGCACCCTATACAACTCCTTCCAACCTTCTTCCTACTCCCGCGGTTGCTGCGACCTCTTCTACTACAGCACCCTCGCAGCCTGCCGCTGTTGCCACCGCCGCTCCCTTATGAGGCCCAGGCGCACAGTCAGGTGCGCCATCTTCTCCAGGACCTGCGCCGACGTACTCAGCCGTGGCACAGGCCCCCGCTCCTCGATCCCCTCGCCGCCACTACGGTGGCGCACCACTCATCCGCTTGTCGGACATTGCCTTGTATGACGGTACAGGCATACGCGTGTCTCGGTGGCTGCAGTCGGCCACCCGCAMACTCCAGCTCATGGGCGCCACACCCGAGACGTGGGTGGGTCACCTCTCAACGCGCCTCCGTGGCGGTCCTTTCGAGGC